TGTCTACTAAGCCCATTTCATATAGTATGTTTAAATCTATAGCTACTTATGCTTGGTTCCAGACCCTATTTCAACAATATATCATTTTCTACAGTTTCACTGTCTTTTTGTGGATGTCATTGCCAATGAAATGTAATGTATTTCAGGCAACATCTAGTTGAGTGTTGCTTTTGAATCCAATCTTTCAGTCTATGTCTTTTATTTAGACAATTTTAATTCTGTGTTATTATAGGAAGATTTGTATTAATTCATGATTTTTTTATACTTAATATTTGATTTGATCTTAATTCTCACTTGTCTATCATTATTTTTAATGATATTTGTTCCTTCCTAAAGTTTCTTATTGTTTATATCTTCTTCTGTGTTTAGAATTTCTTTAAGTATCTTCCAAAGTGATGGTTTTGTGAAAATGAATGCTTTTGTTTTATGGATATTTTGTTATTTGGTATTTGTTTTATTATATTTATTTATTTATTTTTCTTTTAATATCTAGTTTCCACATAATAGAAAAAAACATATATAATACCTAACATTCTGAGTCTGCCTTATTTCACTCAATGTGATGTTCTCTAGTTTCTTCCATTTACCAGTAGATTAGATAATTTTGTTCTTCTTTATAGTTGAAGAAAATTCCATTGTGTATATGTTACATTTTCTTTATCTATTTACCTACCTTTGAAAGACACCTTATTTGGTTCCATAACATGGCTCTGATGAATTGGGCTTCTATATACATGAGTATGCATACATCACTAAAGTATGCTGATTTTAATTAATTTGGATAAATACTGAGGAATGATATAAATGGGTCTCGTAGACATTTTACTTCTAGTCTTTTGTGGAATCACATTATAATCTTCATAGTGGTTTTACTAATTTAAATTCCCCCCACATCCTCACCAGTTTTTACTTTTACTTGTATTTATGTACTGCAAAATGAACACAAGGATGCTTTATCACAGTGATATATCCCTAATCCATTTTTTTAAAGACAGTCTTACTATTTTGCTGAAGGTCTCATTATGTTGCTGAGGCTGGCCTTGAATTTGCAATCTTCTTGTCTCAGCCTCATGAGTCATTGGGATTACAGTCATGCACCATCATGCCAGCTTGTTACTTGTAATCTTTATATTTGGCATGCTAACTGGAGTGAAAGAAATTTCAGTGTAGTTCTTTTTTTATTGTTGGTTGTTCAAAACATTACATAGTTCTTGATATATCATATTTCACACTTTGATTCAAGTGGGTTATGAACTTCCATTTTTACCCCATATACAACTTGCAGAATCACATCAGTTACACTTCCAATGATTTACATATTGACATACTCATGTCTGTTGTATTCTGCTGCCTTTCCTATCCTCTACTATCCCCCCTCCCCTCCCCTCCCCTCCCCTCTTCTCATTCCTCCCCCTTGTATTATTTTTCCCTTTCCCCTCACTTCCTCTTGTATGTAATTTTGTATAACCCTGAGGGTCTCCTTCCATTTCCATGCAATTTCCCTTCTCTCTCCCTTTCCCTCCCACCTCTCATCCTTGCTTAATGTTGGTCTTCTTCTCCTGCTCTTCTTCCCTAGTCTGTTCTTAGTCACTCTCCTTATATCAAAGAAGACATTTGGCATTTGTTTTTTAGGGCATGGCTAGCTTCACTTAGCATAATCTGCTCTAATGCCATCCATTTCCCTGCAAATTCTATGATTTTGTCATTTTTTAATGCAGAGTAATACTCCATTGTGTATAAATGCCGCATTTTTTTTATCCATTCGTCTATTGAAGGGCATCTAGGTTGCTTCCACAGTCTTGCTATTGTGAATTGTGCTGCTATGAACATCGATGTAGCAGTGTCCCTGTAGCATGCTCTTTTTAGGTCTTTAGGGAATAGACCCAGAAGGGCAATAGCTGGGTCAAATGGTGGTTCCATTCCCAGCTTTCCAAGAAATCTCTATACTGCTTTCCAAATTGGTTGCACCAATTTGCAGTCCTACCAACAATGTACAAGTGTACACTTTTCCCCACATCCTCGCCAGCACTTGTTGTTGTTTGACTTCATAATGGCTGCCAATCTTACTGGAGTGAGATGGTATCTTAGGGTGGTTTTGATTTGCATTTCTCTGACTGCTAGAGATGGTGAGCATTTTTCCATGTACTTGTTGATTGATTGTATGTCCTCCTCTGAGAAGTGTCTGTTCAGGTCCTTGGCCCATTTGTTGATTGAGTTGTTATCTTATTGTCTAATTTTTTGAGTTCTTTATATACTCTGGATATTAGGGCTCTATCTGAAGTGTGAGGAGTAAAGATTGTTCCCATGATGTAGGCTCCCTATTTACTTCTCTTATTGTTTCTTTTGCTGAGAAAAAAACTTTTTAGTTTGAGTAAGTCCCATTTGTTGATTCTAGATGTTAACTCTTGTACTATGGGTGTCAGTGTAGTTCTAATTTGCATTTTCCTGTTTGTTAAGAATGCTGAATATTTTTTATAAACTTTTGGGTCATTTGAATTTCTTCTTTTAAGAATTTTCTATTTATTTCATTTGTGATGTGCTATTAGTATTTTTGATGTTGACATTCTGAGTTCTTTATATATATTGGATATTAATTCTATATCAAAAGAGTAGCTGGCAAAGATGTTCTCCCATTATGTAGGCTCTCTCTTCAGGATCTTTTACCCTTTGTTGTGCAGAAACTTTCTGATATGATGCCATCACATCTATTGATTCTTGGGATTATTTCTTAAGCATTAGGAGTCACATTGAGAAAGTCAATACAAGAGCATATATATTGAAATATTGACCATAGATTTTCTTCTGTCAGTTACTAAATTTCCTAGTTTTTTTATCCACTTTGATTTGACTTTGTGTAGGGTGAGAAACAGGCATTTACTTTTCATTCTTCATAGGAAATCCAGTTTTCCAAAGATTGTTTGTTAAAAAGACTGTCTTTTCTTCAATGTAGTTTCTGGCACCTTTTTCAAAGCTTATATGATTTTATCTGTGTGGTTTTAGATGAGGAATACATTTAAACAAGTGCCAGATGACTCCTTAAAATGAAATAATCCCTAAAGTTATCACAAAACAAACTCTGACATTTAGACTTGGTGTTCTAGTTACCGTGTAGTCATCAATATATTAATTAAGATACAAGCCAAGTGACATTCCAAACTTCAATAGAGAGTAGAACAGGAGTCCCTGTTTTGATATATCTCTATATTTCATCTCTCAAGGCATAGCGTATTTATACATAATATCAAGAGATCAAGACTATTTGGTAATCTCCAAGAACTTTGAACAAGTTACATTTTTAGTTCCCTTTCAGAATTTCTACTTTACATATTTTAAAAGATCACATATGTGCAACAAATATATCAACTGATACTAGGGTTTATAATATAACATGTTTTATTGGTAAGATTTTAAACTTCACAAATCCAATAAGATAAAAAGGTATCATTTGTTACAGATCATTGGACAATTCTAAAGTTAAATTTATAGTATTTTCATCACACTAAAATATTCATGTAAATTGGATGTAATTATAACTGAATAGGCACTAATAGCCATAGCATGGAAGGACAATTAGCAGTTACTGAATTTTTTATTCGGTGAGCATAATTATACCAAGTACCTGAAGATATTGTCTGAATATGAGTCGCTAAAAATATATCTTTGACTTATAGAAAATTTAAACATACCTATGATATATCTTCATTTATTAATTGTGACTAGTCTAATAGTTCCAGTTAGGGGGTTGACATACTGACCACAGCATATACAAATCCTCAAAAGGAACAACACTTCAGCTTTTACCTTATTGGTGATTTCAATATGATGGTCTATATTTTTATTTTTGATTCTGCTACAAATTAATAATTCATATATATTTCCCCATAAATGTTACATTAAATTATCCTCAGATATTTCATTATTTCTTATTAGTATCTTTAAGATAAAGATAATATTTTAAAGAATAGATAGATGTGGTCTAAATAATTAAAGACATACAGTTGACAATACAGGAGTAAACAAAATATTCTTACTATATTAGCCATTCTTCCTAAGTAATAACATTTAACAGGGCTAGGGTTGTAGCATTTGCCTAGTTTATGTGAAGCACTGGGTTCAATTCTCAGCACCACATATACATAAATAAAAATAAAGGTTTATCAACAACTAAAAAATAGTAAAAAAAATGAAAAAAGAAAATTAACATAGTTGACTATCAAAGGACAAGGAATATTTTCCCAAAAATAGATGTAAACCTTCCCATCCTTCAGGCCAGAACTACCCATCTCTGTATATATCTTTTCCCATGTCCCTTTATTAAGATGAACTATTTTATTTTGAATTTTGACCTATAACTGATTTTTGTTGAAGTAGAGCATTCTATTTTTTAATATATTATCAATCTCATGCTCAAGTACAGATCTTTCTGTGCTGGAAGGATACACAACCTGGGATATGAAAATATACATTTCAGATGTAACTTTTCAGATGTAACTGTTTCCTATTTATTCCATTAAATCTTGCATGTATTAATTCAATTCTCACTTTGCAATATCTGTCTATTTAGGGAACCAAGAAGAAATATTTTTATGTTTCCTGTTATATCTCTAACCTTGAAATTAAGAACCAATATTTTCTGTCTGATATGTTACTGATGGGCAATTGATTATTTCAAAAGTAAAACTCACTTCTTCATAAACAGGAAACAGATTACTTCAAATCCAGTCAATTTTGGAAACACTGAAAATGAAATCATGGTGCCAGTGTTTGAAATTATAGTCTTCCTATTTTTAAATTAATTCGGAAAACCAGAGCCAGTCTTTTGATTTATTCAACCTAAGACTAAGTTAAAACTCACTGTAGTCCCCTTAAAAATGATGTACTTTAAATCTTACTCTTTCAGCATCACCCATTCATTTGAAAATTCCATTCATTTGTTAATGTCATGTAAGGAATATATATATATATATATATATATATATATATATATATATATATATATATATGATAATTACTTGGCTAAGACCAAAATCTGAATTTTTTTGCAACTTTGTTCAACCATTAATCAGAATTCTACCCAGATATCACTGTGGTCTTTTGCCATTTTATTTCATTCACTTCTGAAACTCAAGCCCTTGGCCAATAAAATGGAACATAATCCCTGACATGCATACAAAGGGAGTTCCAAAGGCAGCAAATATGAATGACCATCCATATTGCACATCAATGATGACATTTTCTGGGACACACCTGTTGCTCCTTTCTATAGATATGTACTTTGGAAAATCAACAGCATATTCCTTCCATAATACAAACAGGCTGAGTATCAGGCTAAATAGGGCCCCTGTGGAGGAAAAGGGAAAAAAAATTATTTCTAATTTAAAGACAGAAAATATGTTTGACAGTACATTAACCTGGATTTTTTTATTTTTGGAAGAACATTTTATAATTACCCCTGAAGTCAGTAAAATTATTAACATCACATGTGAAATGTTATCCTTGTGGGCAACGTCAACTAATACTTTGAAATGAAAAAAAGGTCAACTAGGGAGTTTTCTTTGTTCCTATACTAACATTTTTATGGCTATTACTACCCTAATCAGAACAAGACTTAAGGCTCTATCAAATCTAGAAGCAGCGAAATAGACAATCAATCTATGTCTTTTGTATTCTCCCTTTTTTACTTAGTTTTCCAAATGCACATAATTCACTAAATGTTTACATTTATAAAACTCTTATTCTAAAAATAGTATGCATTTTAATATAAATAATTCAGTAGTGAAACTAGCTACATTTTCTTCAAATCTTCAAAAAATCAGATTCGCTATAAAGATATGTTATAGAGAGTTATAGCTGCCATACACATTTGTTTGCTGCCATTTACTGCTGAGGTAATCCAAATCCCAGTATGATTGCACAGACCTGCAGCACAGCCTAACAGCACCCTACAATGCATAGTTGCTTTAAAATATCTAATGACCTCAAATGAATTTGTATTATTTATAATTTTCATAGGGAGAGATTATCCCTACAAACTTTAAAACCACTGAAATAAGGCAGTAAACACTGACCAATCTTTGTATTGTGTAAGAATTATCAAGCATATAAGTACCCTTCCAGGTTAATTTTATTGAATTTAAGAGGACATTATACAGATGATGATTATAAACCAACAGATTGCACTCTTAAGAACAGAACACTAGACATTTGTGTAGTACTCTTTTACTCATGGATTGCATAAGAAACTAACAAATAGAAAACCTCAAAAATAATTTGAGACAAATTTCTATTTAATATTATATTTGAGACAAATATATATATTTTAATTGATATATTAATATATGATAATTAATATATTATTGAATAATAACATATTATATAGTATATTTGAGAAAAATTACATATGGCTCTAGCTAAGGTTTCATGGATGCTTATTGACAAAAATATATGCTAAGTCATCTACACCTTCTGTAATTCCAGGTTAATAGTATTTGTCTCATCAGATAGATGTGTAACATTCTAAGCCTGACACGTTTAGAAGTCCCTTTTCACCATCAATTACTAGATTATGATTTAGTGAGGTAGCCACGACTTAAAAGCCATTTTTGCTCTGACTTAATATCCTTTTATATTTCTTGAGTACCTATAATATTTACCTAATTGATTTCCTATTATTGTTCATTGTAGTTTATTTCAAAATTACTAAGAGTATATTTTAGAGTATCATACCACAAAAATGATAGTTATATAAGCTGATAGGTTTGTTAATTGATCTGATTTAATCATTCCACATGATAAACATATATCAAAATGTTACATCATACCTCATAAGTACACACAATTGTGTATGAATTATGACAAATAAGAAAACATTTAATAGTTTTCTATTAATATCAAGACAGTATATGTGAAGATAGAGTGAAAAATATTAATCATAATACAAGGTGATATTATATTAATATTAATTAAATAATAAAAATATCACTAAGAACATAAATGTATAAAAATTAAATAAAATATAAAGAGATATTGAATATATTAAAGTGCCTTGAAGTTCTAGGACTGTATTCATCATTCAATAAGTGATAGCTATCATAAGTATAATTTCATACATCAACAAAATAAGTAAATAGACATTTTTTGTGGTACCTAGGATTGGATTTAGCCCCTCTGCTGATTAGGCAAGCACTATACCACTGAGCTACATCACCAGATAGGATGTCACGTTATCCAGGCTGGCCTTGAATTTGCCATCCCTCTGCCTCAGTCTCCTGAGTAGCTGGGGTTACAGGAAGGTTTCATTAGGCCCAGCTTATAAATAGAATCAATTAGGTATTGTAAAGTTAAATGGTGCCCTTTGGAAATATTTTCATGCAATCTAATATAACACTTGGATAATTTACTAAAATTCACATAATTTGAACAAGTTCCTTCCTCTTAAACATTGTAGAATTATATATGCCTTTAGAATACGAGGATTACAATTTTAAGGCCAGCCTGAGTATCATATAATTCATTGTTATTTGTCTGAAATAGGATATTTGTAATATTCTACATAATTAGATAGGCATTTCTACGTGCTAGAGTAGAAGGGCTTAAACAGTTTAAGTGAATTATTAAATTACTGTGAGAAATGTCTGCTCCATCATGGAAACAACACATAATATTTAGACTCTAAAAGCATGATTTCATTTGGCATATATAATATACCTAAAACTTATTTATTTACTAGAAATCCTTGATAACATTTCTTTGGAAATCAAAATAAAGTTACAAAAAATATAAAAAGGAATTTCCTTAAATATGAACTCACCAGTTTCCATTAAGCATGAGGTTGGCATTTTGACATTTTTCCAAAATCTAAAAATAGCGTCAATTTATGTTTAGTGTTAAAAGTTATGCAAAGTTTAATAAAAAATGTTGTAATTGTACTTACATATCATTTATTATTCTTTTATTATTTTTATAGAAATTATTCTCCACACTTTGGCTCAGCTACTGGCTTCCATGTTTTATCATGAACATACTTTTTATGAAGGCTTACTTTCTTATCCTAAGATATATCTTTCTATAGTGTTTAACATAGTACTGGAGAGAGAAAGCTAAAAAAATATTTATTTTATGGGAAATAATTAAATTCATCAAAAACATGAATCTTGCTATCTGTTCATTTTCAATGTAAAAAATATAGAGAGTAATGAAACTTTCCTCAACACAAATAATAAATCGCCAAGCTGTTTAAATGCCTGAAACTTTTTCTCTGGCTTATTCTTTATGTTTAAAATCAATAAGCAAATAACTATTTTTTCTTGATCTCGAAATGACATAGGTCTATACAGTGTTATAAATTAAACAGAAAGCTCTAGAAATCAAAATTATTAAACTTTGCTGTCTACTTTCAAATTCCAAATAAGCAACATCTAACTCAGGTAAATTGTCAAGTATTTCTTTAATAATTATGCTCCTGTTGCAATATCATTCTAATAACAAAAGAACAATCAGTAGATATTTGTTCAAAGTGACTTGAGGAACAATATGTGTTATGGTTTGAAACTAAAATGCCCCTATAAGCTCATATGTTAGAAGCATGGTCCCCAATAGAACAAATTTAGAAGTGGAGCTCTTAGGCAATGACTAGGACTCTAAATGCATCAGTGACTTACTTCATTTGAAGGATTAATCCATTGAGAGTTGAATAGAATATTCTATAGTAATTGTAGGCAAGTGAGTTGTAGGTGGAAGAAGTAGGTCACTGGGGGAATGACCTTGAACTATATCTGTCCCTGGCTTCACACTGTCACTGTCTGAATCCCAGCTGCCAGGAGCTTAACAGTTTCCCTCTGCCTTGCCCTTCTACTATGATGTTCTGCATTAACTTGGGCCCCAAGCAATACAATCAGTGAAACATGAACTGAACACCTGAAGTGATTAGTTCTAAATAAACTTCTTATTCTGAGTTTTCCTTGTCAGGTATTTTTCAAAGTGACAAAAAGATTAACTAACACAGTGTATTAGTGACAGAGAAAAGAACTAAAATTGGAATCAGATAATTGGGTATAAAGCCTAACCCTTTCACTCACTGACTGCATGATATTGATCAAATCATTTCATTGCTTCAAGATTAAATGAGTTTCCCCAGCTATTATGAGAAATATTTATTTACATTATAAAAGTAAAAGGGATATGCATCAGATAATAAATTTTTTTTGATATCTAGGGGATAAATAGTTTTATTGATGTTTCTACACATATGTGTAAAAAAAGTCAACTTATCAACAGATGCAAGGCAATAAGCAAGTTTTATGTTTTGAATTATCACCAAGAACAAACTTACTAAAATTGTCTACATAAAAAGAATCTTTCCTTTTAGAAATTGACAGTGTTACAATAATCAATACAAGTTAATTTAGATAGTATTTAAATAATTTTACAACATTCGAATTGCTTAAGGCCACTAGAAACAAAAAAATACGAGCCTGAAATCTTCAGAATTCAACAGTTTTAATGTCCCACACATTATCACACCAAACATTGGGAATTTTTCACATGTATTAATAATAAAATAAACAAAAATTTTCAAAATATAAAACAATTTTTATCAAATTTCCTAAATTGATGCTTGGGCAAACAGTTTCACTGGTGAAATTTTTAAAATTGACACATACTATTTGAACATATTTATTATATGTTTACAAAGCATAATGATTAAGTCATGGTAATTAGCCTTCTATCCTGTTAAATATTTTTAATTTGTGTCAATATATAATTATATATTTCATTAATAACTAAAAGAAACATTAAAAAGAACAGTCATGTGTTTTTCATTGATTTGCTTCAGGAAAAAATTAATAAAATTTCTGTCATAAATAAATTGATTGAAAAAATACTAACTGCTTTGATGGAGGTAGCAAATGAAAGTAAAAGAATTGAATTTGGACCAATTGTTGAACAATAGATTTGAGTTAAGTTTAACATTTGGGTTGGCTTTGGTTGAAAGGAAAGGATTACCCAATATTAGAAGAGCATCACATCATTCAGAAATTTCTTTGGTCAAAAGAACACTTTAAGCAACATTACCTGGAATAAATGTATAAAAGAGTCATTGGGAGAATGGGGAATTATTTTCTTACATTTGTGCAGTTATACTGAAAAATACTAGATAACTAGGAGGCTAGGGAAACACTCATATACCAAAAGAAGATCATAATGAATTAGGATTTGAATGATGACAATTAAAATAATAAAATAAAGAACATTTCCAAAAGAAACTATACAAGCTGGGTGCGATGGTACATGCCTGTAATCCCACCAGCAGTAGTCTGAGGCAGGAAGATTGCAAGTTCA